CACACTCCTGTGACCTCAAGTGTCTCGCTGGACCCTCTGTTACCCTGAAATACAGGCTGGGCGCTGGGTTGTGACTCTCCCAGAGAATCCCTGTGCCCAGGAACAGATCCTGGCTGCTCTGGCTGGCTCCTGCCAGGCTGTGGGAGCAGCTGGAGGGATAATGGTTGTGAAATGTGCCTGTGTGGGTTCGTACCAGTGATTGTCATCAACGTGGGTCCTTACATTCCCTGTTAGAAGGACATCCAGGGGTAGGGGTAAATTATTTAAAGGGCATTTTTTCTGCCTCTGCTCTTTTTGGTCAGAGGAAGATCCCCAAAAGCTGACACCTTTACAAGAGCTTCACAAGATGGTTTTCACACCAGCCTCAATGCCTGAATGCAGATTTTTAAGCCCAAACAGCCCCATTTCTGAAGCAGAGCTGCCATTCGCCCCTTCACCACAATCCCTGGTATTCAGTGTGGAACTCAGAGGACTCATTTGTGGTTTTGTCCCCTCAGCAGGTGAGGAAGAGCAGTTTGACATGGACATCTAATGCACCTGCCCGGGGAGTGCTGATCCAGTGAAGCACCAGGACTTGTCTTGAGGATTCCCACCAGCCAGGCTTACAGCAGCCCATGCCTTGAGTGCCTTCCTGCTCCTGGGAAAGGCAGTTGATTCCCTTGGGAGAGCAGAGCGTGTCCTGTTCCAGGGGCCAGGTCTCGGAGTGCCAGAGGAGACACTCTCACCCCTTGGTTTTGGTTCCAGTTTTATGCTTTTGTTAATCATTTTAATACTGTAACAGTTACAGAAATGCTATATAAGGGAGAAATAAAAATCATGTGGAGTCTCCTGGTGTGGAGATGAATGCAATAAATGTGGCTTCTGTCCTTTATTCCAGCAAGAAAGCACCGGCCTGAGGTGTTCCACAGCGGGTCTCTTTGGGGGGTGAGTGCTTACCTGGGTTTGTCATCCCTGCTGAAACTCCAGTGCTGCTTCACCCTTGTTTCTCTTTTTTATCCTGTGGTAGGCAGGGGTCAGGGCTTTGGGAAAGAGGGTTTGGCTGGGGGGGGGTTAGAAACAAATCTGGGTTTGAGAGGGGAATTTTCACGTGAGAAAAGTTAATTTTTCCGTGGGGAAGGCCCAATTTGCATCCCCATCGACCAAATATCTGCATTTTTAGCCCCAGGTTTAATAAATGTGGTCTGCAAGAGGTTCTAACACATTGCTGTGTGAATGCTGAGGGGGAGTGGAGGCACCTCAAAGGAGGACAATCCATATCAGGGCACAGCCTGGACCTCAGACTTCCTGAACCACAATGAGTGTCTGTGCAGATCAGATTCTGTAGATAGCTTTTAAATATCTGCTAATGAGGCTCAGTGGTGACATTATGGTATGCAAACCCTTAATAATGAGTAACAGAACAAAGCAATTGCTACAGATAAACCCGCATTTCTCCAAGATAAGATTTAAGGGTTTCTCTGAAACCTTAATGGGAACAAATCCAAAATTATTGCCCTCTGGTGTGACTTTATCAGTCTTGCAACTCTGCACAGGTTTGGTTCTGATGAGGGTTTGGAGAGGAGCTGCTGCAAGAGCCTTGTGGGGTCAGGATTTGGTGTCGGTACAAAGGCCTGGATTTTGGGGTAAGTGTCAGGTATTGCAGGTAATGCTCTTAAATCCCATTCCCTCCCACCTGCAGGAGAGGTAACACGTGCTGGAAGTGTTAAATACTTTGTCCCTGTCCTGAAAGCTTTGCATTGGTATCTGAAGCTTATGCAGATCTGGGGGAGCATCAAAGCCCCAGGTGCCTGGGACAGCAATGCATAGCTGATAATCGGAGGGAGGGAGGGCTCCCTGTGAAACACCTGGCCAGGTGTGACCAGGGCTCTGTCCGGGAGGGTCGGGGCTCCCGCTGGGTTCCCGGCCAGGGCCCTGGGGCAACAGGCACTTGGGGGCAGTCGTGGGGGGCAGAGAGAGTCCTGACCAAAGCTGTGGATGGGATGAGGTGACGCTTGTGGGCATCTGCTCCCTGCAATTTGTCCTGAGCCCGTTCCTTGAACTTTTCCACCCGTGGCGTGGGACCAAGTGGTCTCAGCACCCCATTGCTCCAGTCCTTCACCCCCTCCCTCTCACCCCCAGCCACTGCATCCCTCAGCTGGGCAGTTTTGGATCCATCTCCTGCCTGCCTTCGTGTTTGCAGCTCTCCAAGCTTTCCCGAGCCCTGCACGGAGCAGCTCAGCATTCCAGGGCAGTTCCCTGCTCCACCAGGCTCTGTTCCTTGCCCAACACTTGCACTCCCAGGCCGAGGAGCTGCTTTTCCTGCAGGCTGAGCCCTGGTGAGCACGGTGGGAGGCAGGGAGGGAGGGAAGGCAGCTGTGGGTGGCTGTGGCACAGCTGGGATGCTCTGGGGAGGTCCAGGGACAAGTGTTGGCTTTGTCATTGCATTTCCCATCCCGGCCCCTTTTTGTCGCAGGAGGGTAGAGCAGCACACCCGGTGTCCCTGCATCCTGCTCCACATCCCTGAGTCCTCCTCCGTGTCCCTGCATCCTAATCCGTGTCCTTGTGCCCTGCTCCGTGTCCCTGAGTCCTTCTCCATGTCCCTGTGTCCTGCTCTGTGTCCCAGTCACGGGACAAACACCACCTGCCCGCCCCAGCTCGTGCCTTAGTGCACCACTTGTACAAATATTACCCTGGGCCTGTGATAAGCCCCTTGGCCTGTTTGTTTTTGCTCTTTCCTCGTGTGTCCAAAGCAATCCGTGCCTGCCATCCCCCTGTCCCTCCAGACTGATCCCAGCCAGGCTCAGCTGCCCCACGCTCCCACGCTCCCGAGTGGCCACTGCTTGTATCCAAGTCTTGCCCTCCCAGAAAACCCCGGCCACCTTCCCTGCTGGAAAACCTTCCCTGCACGGGGAGGCTCTGTCCTTTATGTTTAAGGCTGCTGAGACCAAGCCAGCCCTTCCCAGAGCAGAGACCTGCCGGCTCCCCCCTGGCCCTGGGATGCTGAAGGGTCGCAGGCAGCACCCCATGGCAGGGCTGGGGCTGTCCCCCCACTTTATTGTCTTGCGTGTCTGGGCTCCCTCTGTCCTCCCCACGGCCCCCCCGCAGCCGATGTGGATTGGGGCAGGAGCAGGGCCACAGCTCTCCCTGCTCAGATCAGGTCCCTGCTCACAGCCCGAGCCTGGCAGAGCCCGGCTCGCCAGCAGATCCTCGCCTAAACCCGGCTTTATTGTCACCGCCCGCACTTTGATGTTTTCCTTACAGCCCTGGAATCTCAGCCTTTATTTTTCCACCCCGCTCTTCCCAGGGAACGGCTGCTGCCTCCCCCTGCCCCGCCACAACTTTTGAACCCGCTGCTGGATTCCAAACAGGCGTGATGGAGGGGCAGAGATGGCAGAGATACAGCGGGGGCTGGGGGGGGCCAGGGCGTCCCGGGCTGGGTGTGAATCCTCCCGTTTATGAGCAGGAGTGGCAAAACTGCGGAGAAAGAGGCAAAATAATGTGATTTTATGTCACCCACAGCGCAGATGTGCAGGTTTCTGCGTGGCTTTGCCTCCTGCCGGGGGTCAGCCCCGCGCCCCCGGCCCACCCTTGACAGCTCCTGCAAATGACCCTCTAATGACGGGATGGTCGCAGTGTGAAAGCTGTTGGAATATGTAAGCGGCCCCGGGAAGGGTCTGCTGGGGAGGGGGGACACACCAGACACGCTTTGTTTATCCGCCGGCTGGGATGTGGATTGGGGATAATCAGGCTGGGCTGGGATGTGGAGTCGGGGCTGCTGGTCCCAGGAGGGGCGGGATGGAGGTGGCCCCTGTCCCATCCTGCGAAGCCACCTGGGCCACCCGCCGCCAGCCCCGATGCTTGTGGTCCCTCCCGTCCCCTCGGCTGCGCGGGGGCCACCGTGGGTCCCCCCCGCGAGTGCCGTGTCCCCATCCACGGGGGCAGTCCTGAGCCTGGGGGACCCCAGACCCACCACCGGGGCTGCAGCCAAACCCCAGCACTGACCCTCGCTACCCAGGAGGAGCATCCCCCGCCAGGACTGAGGTGCAGGGGGGACACGGTCACCCCAGGGCACTGGAGGCCCCGGGCATTGCCTGGGGCTGGGGTTCTCCTGCTGTCACCGGGTTGGTGACCCAAAGGAGCTGCCTGCACCGGCCACAAGGCTTAGAATTCACGGCTGTTAGAGAGCACGGCCCTTCCCTTATCTCCGAGGGGTAAATAAGGGTGGGAAATCCCTTTAGCCTCCCCTTCCCCTCCTGCAGGTGCCTCCCTGCTTGCTCTTGAGCAACCTCCCGTCAGGGTGGGAGCAGCTCCGTCCTTATCTCACGTGAACTTTGGAGCTTTTGAGCATCTTTTGCACTGTTGGAGGGATCCCTTTGCTCTGGCAGTGTTGGGAACAGCCAGAGCCCACCTGCTCTGGTGTTACTGGTGAAGGAGCAAATGGACAGAGATGGAGGAACTGCACCCTGACAGACCACCAACAGCAAAAATGGGCTGTGGAAATCAGCCGAACCACCAGGTGTTTTTAATATATATATATATAATTTATTGATGAGTTTTACAACTGTGACCCTTTCTCTACCACCCCATCCAGCGAGGGGGGAAAAGGCTTGAGCAGATCCACGGCCTCACGGAGGGAGCAGAGTGTGCCGTGGCAGGGAGTGATGCTGCCATGCTCCAGTCCTGCACCTCAGCTCCTGCCTCTGCCCTTGGCTGCCCCAGGCACACCTTCCAGCAGCACCACAGCTCCTGGAAAAACACAGTGTGGGGCACCAAGGTGCCCCAGGGAGGTGGCTGGTGGCCTTTCCTGCGTGGAGCCTGGATCCAGCCATGCACCGTGGCCATGAAGCACCGCTAACACCCCGGCACCCCACTCCTCCCCTGGCCCAGCCAGGGCTTTGCTGACCCACAGTCACACGGGTTCGAGATGCCCCGGTCTGTGTGATGTCCATAGGTCGGGTGGTCGGTCCTTGGGGACACTTCTGGGCAGAGATGTGCCCCTTCCCAGCGGGGGCGAGGTGGCCTCAGTTGCAGCCACACTCCTCGATGATCATGTCCTCGTGGTGGCGGACGACGATCTCGCCCTTCTCGTAGTAGAGCATGGAGAGGGGACTCATCCTGACCGGGGAGCAGGCGGGACACGGCACCTGGTGGGGCTTGTAGAGCTGCAGCAAACTCTGTGGGAGACACGGGAAGGGCAGAAAATCCCCCCTGCCACAGGTGGAGGGCTGGGAGTGTGGGGGGCGCGGGGGCAGCTCTTCTTACCTGTATGTACGCGTGGTTGGTGGGCTTGAAGGTCTCGTCCACAGGTGAGGGGCACAGCCCTTCGCATCGGTAGGCGTTGTACTTTTTGGGGTAGACAATCCAGCTGCCCCAGCCCGTCTGCTCGAAATCCACCATCATGTCCACCCGCCTGCACAGGGCCCTGCCCTCCTCCCGAGGCGTGGCCGGAGCAGCGTCGCTCGCTTTGATCCTTTGCTTCTCCATCCTGTTCCTGCGGTGCCGGCGCGTCCCCTCGCCCTGGGAGCCGCTGTCACGCATGATGTACTTGGAGTTCTCCGCTGTCCTGATGAGGCTGTGGTCTCCTGGAGACTTGTCCGTGGAGAAGACGAGCAGCAGAACTCTGTCTGCCACATCCTGGGGCAGGGCTGTCTCCCCGTGGCCAGCGTCGCTCAGGGTGGGCGAGTGCACTGCACTGGTGGCCGGGACATCCGAGCCGTTCACCTCCCACCGCTCCTTTCCCGTGGGATTGTGGTGCCCGGGGACCACGGCTTGGTGCAGCCAGGACCGGAGCAGGTTGGTGACCTCGAAGACTTCCCAGGAGGCCTGGGTGGCAGAGGGGCTGCCGGCCACGGTGCCCAGGAAGAGCTGGTGGGCGCAGGTCCCATGGCCCCGGCACCTGCGCCGCTGGCTGTGGTAGATGTCCAGGGAGACGTTGTGGGAGTGGGAGAGCCCGGGCGGGCGGATGCGGAGCTGGGCCAGACTCACCTCCTGGCTGCTGGACAGGGAGGACATGTCGAAGGAGAGCGCCCAGTGGGAGCCGTTCTGCAGGGAGCCTGAAAGCCAAGGGCAAGGTGAGGGGACGTGGGGCCGGGGGTGCCAGCGCCGGGAGGGACGGTGCCCTCGCGTCCCTGCCGCGGGAGCCCGAGGGTCAGGGGAAAGCCGCTGGATCCACTCCGAGAGCCAGCGAGAGCCCGGGGCAGGGCCGGTCCCGGGGACAGGGATTTTCGGGACAGTGGGGGTCCCTGGACGGGGATGCTTGGGGCCGGTGCAGGTCCCGGGGACTGTAACTGTGCCAGAACAGGGATGCCTGGGGACAGTGCCAGTCCCAGGAAGCGAAATGGTGCTGATCCCGGGGACAGGGTTGCCCGGGGACCGCACGGGACCCGGGGACAGTGCCGGTCCCAGGACAGGGATGCTGAGGGATGGTGAGGGTCCCAGGGACAGTGCCGGTCCCAGGACAGGGATGTCCGGGGCCGAGGCCCCACTCACCGTGCGGGGAGAGGCTGAGGGCGGCGGCGGCGGCGGCGCGGAGCGGGGCGGGAGGGGCGCGGAGCAGCTGCAGCATCAGCGGGGGGCAGCGCGGCGGGGCGCGGGCCGGGGACAGGGTGGGCGCCCGGGTGGGTGCCCGGGGGGATGCTCCGGTCGGTGCCCAGGTGGGTGCCCGGGGGGATGCGCAGCCCAGGCGGAGCAGGGCGAGGGCGCAGAGCGCCAGCGCGGGCGCGGAGCGGAGCGGGACCCGCATGTCTGCCCGGGCCACCCGCAGCCGCCCTATTTGTACAGCGGCCCCGAGCGCCGCCCCGGGCACCCCCCTCTCCGGCAGCCCCCTCCCCTCTTCTCCCCATCCCTCTTCCCAGCCCTCCGTCCCTATCTCCATCCTCCCTCCCCTCCACCCCCATCTCCGCGCTGACATCCCTCCCCGCTTCCAACTCCGCCGTCTCTCGTTCCTCTCTTTCTCCCTCTCTCCTTCCCACCCTTCCCTAACTGCCTCCAGTCTTATCCACCCGACTCATCCCTCCAGCCCTCCAGTTCTTCTCGTCCTGCCCGTTTCCCTCTCCCTCCTCCCCTCCATCCCTCCTGGACTCGTCCCCACCACCAGCTCCCTCCATCCCTCTCCTGCCGTGGCTGGTGGGCGCGGGGACGGCACCGCCCGGGACCCCTGCGGACGAGTGACCCAGGCACATTCCCCGCCACCCATCAATCCTGTCCTGCTCCTTGGAGAAGGGACCGGGACCTGGGGTACCCGAGGACCCCAACCTCTCCAGGTGGGGGTCTCAGCGGGGGTCCCCCTTCATCCCCGCCCATCTCCCAGCGAGGTGATGCTCTTCCTTCCCTGGGAGAAACGTGCGGGGCACCGGGGAAACCTGGGACCTGCTGGCGGTTTCTTACCCCGCTGTCAGCCCCGCACCTCCCCCTCAGGCTGTGGCCGGGTGACGTCACGACGCTGCAAAAAGTGACGTCACGACAGAAGGGAAACGTGACGTCACGACAGAAGGGAAACGTGACGTCACGACAGAAGGGAAACGTGACGTCACGACAGAAGGGAAACGTGACGTCACGGCTCCATCTCCCCGCCGCGCAGTTCCCGGCGGCCGCCGCCAGGTGGCGCCGCTGCGCCGCGGTGGGGCCCACCCGGAGCCATCGCCCTTTGAAGCGCCGGGTCTCGCGAGAGCCGCGAGCGCGGGCGGCGGGCGAACATGGCGGCGGCGGCGGCCGAGGGCGCGGAGCCCCCTCCGGAGCCCCCCCCGGCCCCGGAGCCCCCGGCCCCGCCAGAACCGCCCGCCGCCGACGCCGAGAGCGGGTATGGCCCTCCCTGCGCGCGCCCGAGGGGCCCCCGCAGCCCCCGCACCGTGAGGGCTTTGATGGGGGAAAAGGGGGCGGGGGGGGGCTCGCCGCGTTACCATGGGAACGGGGATGGGGGTCCCACACCGCCCCAGAGGGGTCCCTGGAGGGCCCAAGCGACACCGGGAGGGCGGGGGGTAGCTGCACGTACCCCCCCCATCCCGCACCGGGCCCCGGGTCCGGGCTGAGCCCCCCCTCCGCCCCCCATTCCCGGGGGTCCCCGGGGGGGCGGCTCCTCTGACACATCTGTGCCCTGGCAGCGGGGACACCGCCCTGGTCGATGTCACCACGGCCCTGGAGACCGAGTCCGCCAACGGCAAGGAGCCCCTGGTAAGTGCTGTGGGCACGGGGGGTGGTGGGTGGTCCAGCCCTAAGGGAATTTACATCCCCCCAGCTTTGGGTCTGGAAAGGGTTATTTTGGAAGTTAAATCCTCACCCGTGTAACGAGCTGAGTCTATGGAATAGCTCCAGCGCGGGCACGGATCAGGGGGAGGGATTTATTCCGTTTAAAGGTAGCGGTGTGTGAGTCCCTGGCTCTGCTCTGCCCGGGCAGTGTGTGATTCCCTGGATCTGCCCCTGGCAGTGTGTGAGTCCCTGGCTCTGCTCCCGTTCCAGGACACGGCTGGGGATGGTGCCGAGGCCCTGGATGCCCAGGGGGGCTCGGGGGACGAGGAGAACGCGCGGCAGCTGGGAGAGATCGAGCTGCAGTGTGGGATCTGCACCAAGTGGTTCACGGCGGACACCTTCGGCATCGACACCACGTACGTGAGCCCTGGCAGCAGGAAGGGAGTGTTTTAGAGTGCGAGTTCCCAAGGACCAAGGCCCCGTCCGTATCCTTGGACACTTGGAAACCAGCATGTTGTGTAAATAACTAAGACTTTGCCTGTGATAAAAGCACCCCCACCAGATACCACTGAGCCTGTAAGGTGTTTCTGGGCTCAGGGAGAGAAAGAATAATTGGTTTCTAATCTGGAATAATTAATGTTTTAATCCAGTGTAGTAAAGAATAATTGACTTTATTTGTTTTCTAAGAAAGACACTGAGGGGCTGGAGTGTGCCCAGGGAAGGGAATGGAGCTGGGAAGGGTCTGGAGCACCATGAGCAGCTGGGGGGGCTCAGCCTGGAGAAAAGGAGGCTCAGGGGGGACCTTCTGGCTCTGCAGCCTCCTGACAGGAGGGGGGAGCTCCCAGGGAACAAGGGACAGGATGACAGGAAACGGCCTTAAGCTGTGCCAGGGGAGGGTCAGGTTGGACATCAGGAGGAATTTTTCCCTGGTAAGCGTGGTCAGGTATTGGAAGGGGCTGCCCAGGAAGGTAGTGGAGTCCCCATGCCTGGAGATGTCCAAGGAAGGACTGAACATGGCACTCAGTGCTCTGGGCTGGGTGACAATGTGGGGATCGGGCACAGGGTGGACTCGATGATGTCAGAGGTCTTTTCCAATCTCAGTAATTCTGGGATTCCTTTAATCTAATGCAGTAATTACAGTGTACCCAGCCCTGACAAACCTGCTCTTTCCCAGGTCCTGTTTGCCCTTCATGACCAACTACAGCTTCCACTGCAACGTGTGCCACCACAGTGGGAACACCTACTTCCTGAGGAAACAAGCGAGTGAGTCTGGGAGAAGCACGTTGGGGGGTGTTTTGTGCAAGATAATTCTGAAGGTTTGGTTTTGTCTGGGAGGGCTCTGCTGAGACCCTTGGAAAATGACCAGAAAATTCATAGCAACAAATCTGAGGCTTTTTCTAAAAATGTTTTGCTGTTTTAATTGCTGAAGATGTGTAAATGTGTTCAGTGGGGGCTGATCGGGATGAACTCGAGGGGGTTTGCTGTTCCTCGGGGTGATGCCGTGGGGTCGGTGATTGCTATGAACACAGGTGGGTGTCCTGATCTTCCCCACCAAGTGTAAGTGTATCCCTGGGGTGTTTTGTTTTCCAGATCTCAAGGAAATGTGCCTTAGTGCTCTGGCCAACCTCACGTGGCAGTCGAGGACACAGGACGAGCACCCCAAGACGATGTTCTCCAAGGATAAGGTTTGGCTGTGACGGAACCGCCGCGGGTCCGCGTCAGGGCTGGTGTCAGTGAGGAGGAGCTCAGAGAAATGTTCTCTGCTTTCACAGGATATTATCCCGTTCATTGACAAATACTGGGAGTGTATGACAACGCGGCAGAGGCCTGGCAAAATGACCTGGCCCAATAACATTGTCAAAACCATGGTAAGAACTGGGGGTAAATCCCTGGAGGAATTACCACGAACATTTTGATTTTCTGACACTGGTGTGTGCTGAGGGCTGGGCTTGGAGCTGAAGGGTGAAGATGCTGATGTACCTCCCACATATTGATAGTACACAATGGGATTTAAACACTTGTTAATTAATTTGTTAATCTTACCTCGTGTGACTTGAACTCCTCTGTTTCAGTGCAAAGAAAGAGATGTGTTCCTGGTGAAAGAGCACCCAGACCCGGGCAGTAAAGACCCAGAGGAAGATTACCCCAAATTTGGGCTTCTAGACCAGGTATGTGATGAGAGAAGGGAGGAGAGCAGAGATCTGGGAGGAGAAGTGGGGGATCCTTGTGGTGCCTTCTGCTCAGTCAAGGGGCAAAGCTCTGCCACGAGTCCGTGTTGTGCCAGCGGTGGGTGGGAGCTCCAGCACCTGGGAGTGCCCTGCTCGGGCTCAGGGTGGCACCTTTGACCAAGTCTGTTCAGCAGATTGTTTGATCTCTTGCAGGATCTTGCCAATATTGGCCCTGCCTATGACAACCAGAAACAGAGCAACGCTGTGTCCACGAGTGGAAGCTTGAATGGCAAGTTCTTTACTCGGGAGGGTTTTGGGTATTTGGGACTAAGCTGCATTTTCCAGTCCTCTGGGCATCTGTGCAGTTCAGCTGTCGTGTGAGCTGAGTTTATGCTTGTGCTCAGAACAGTCTCACTGTGCCTTTTTATAGAAGGATTAACTTTAGTTCTTGGGAAGGTTCAGCTGTTTCTTTACGGTGACCAGATAAATCGAGATGCTCGCCAGAAAGCCCAGCTTGTCAGTTTGCTCTTAGAACGGTTTTAATTTACCTCCTTGTGTTTCCCTTTCTCTGAGAGTTGAAAGTAGCTGGGGAAAGGATAAATATATACATTATTCCTTGTGCTCACTGCTTGTGCTTTACTGTTACTCCTTGAGGGTGACTCCTGTGCTGTCCCGTCCTGCTGAGGTTGCTCAGGGTGACCTTACTGCAGTGAAGTACCTGCTGATGAGGATATGTATTAATAATCTGCAGTAAACACATCCCAACAGTACAGGCAGGAGGTATTTGGGGCTTTTTAGAGCAGGTTACAGATATCTCAGGTGTGTTGTCTCCATGTCATGCACTGGTTGTTTTTTATTGAATTTCCGGGAGACTGACAAACATGTGGTGCCACTTCTGTTCTTGCAGGTGGAGCCTCTCTGGGAGGTGAATATTTACCTTTCAGCTTCTAAAACTTAAGTATTGCTGTTTGCAAAGCTTTTTTGCTTGATTCTCTTAGAAGCCAAAGTCAATTAAAAATGAAAGCGTGCCCTGATGTGATTGCAGTCAGGCTTTAATACAAACCAGCAATTCCACTCTTTAATCTTTAGCAATTAGAAGATTTTGTTGCCATATTCTGCCCTACTTGACTGTTATGAATGTTTATTTGTGTATTTTGTTCTTATATTTATTTTTACTTTGTGTCAGTTGACCTGATGTTGTCATTTTAACTCTTAATGTCTAAATAATTCAGTCTGAAACATACAGTGTGATGGTTTGGGCAAGTAAATATTTACCAACTGGAGATCCTGAATGTTTATCTGCACTGGATCAGGTGATGTGCAGCTGGATCAGGTCATGTTTGTGCAGAATATGGTATTCCCTGGGTGATTTGGGTCCCTTACACCATAA